GAAGTCCCAGATGAAGGAGTTAGCAAGGGTGGATGGCACGCACAGGCCTCACCCTTTGGCTTGTCAATGGTCTTCTGCCTTCACATGGTCTTTCCTTTATGTGTGTCTGACTCCCTTCTTCCAAGGGCACCAGTCATGTTGGATGAGGGCCAACCCATGACTTCACTGCACCTCAGCCACCTCTGTAAAGGCCCTATTTCCAAATACAGTCGCATTCTAAAGTTCTGGAGGATTAGGATTTCTACACACAAATTTGAGGGGGACACAAACAGATGGAGGTGATTAGAAACTTAGTTCCCTTGGGTTAAGCAATCCAGAGGTGAGAAAAAGAGTGCAAGAGGAGGACTTCTGTGTTTGTTTACTTCTTCAGTTTTGGTATAGAAATAGTTTATGATTAGTGACTCAGTATTAACTGCTGCTCTTTTTGAGATTTTGTGCTCTAACCATTATTCTAAATTAGCGGTTCTCAACCTGTGGGTCACGACCCCTTTGGTGGTCGAACGACCTTTCACAGGGGTCGCCTAAGACCATCCTGCATATCAGATATTTACATCACGATTCATAACAGTAACAACATTACAGTTATGAAGTAGCAACGAAAATAATTTTATGGTTGGGTCACAACATGAGGAACTGTATTTAAAGGGCCAGAAGGCTGAGAACCACTGAAATACACACTTCTCTACAGAGTGATTAATCTGCTATAATTAAGATGTGACCTTTTCAAATTTTCATTGAAAACAAAAACAGAAGTGCCATCTCATATGTTAAGTAGCTTTGAGTTTGGCACGCAGGAAGCCATTTCCTTCAAGAGGCCCTTATTTCTGTTCCGCAAACACACATCACCCCGATTAAAGGGAAAACAGGGTTCTTCCTTCCAGGCAGTGTCTGATCCCTGGCGAAACCTGGAAACTACAAAAAGCTCGATTTAAAAATTAAAGACATTTCAAACCCAGCAAGATCTTACATGGAAAATAAACCCTTCAGGTGCGTTGTTTTGAGTTTGGTTGAACTATTTGTAGATTTCTGCTTAGAATGGTATAAACTCACAGGAATAAAGTAAACCGGAGAGACCATCAGATGGTGAGCAATAGCAACAAAGGAAGCTGTGCAGAAAGCAACAGGGCTGAGAAAGCTGAGGACCAAGTGCGTGCAGGAGAGATGGTTAATTCTCACAGGAATACACAGCAAGTCCCAGCAATGAGAGATGCCAGATGCTGGGGAAAACTCAGGTGAAGCCTGGAATGGAAAAGAGGGGTAGTGGCTAAAACTGGTGACTACCACGCCACACCTTGGCAGAAGGCTGACAGTTTATTTTATGGACTCATGTTGGTTTAGTTTCTCCAGACCAAGGGACTTTAGATTAAAGAGAGCATGAAAGAGAGGCACTGAACTGAGAGCAGGTGGGTTAATTAAAATCTGCACCAAGTATTGAGCAAACAGAATACTGGCTGTCAGATAGATTTTTCTCTAGAGGCAATGAATGGCCCAGGACAAAAGGCTTACAGATCCTGACATCTGAAGGACGCCAGTGAAACAGCAGAATCCACACCCAGTCACCTGGGCAATGAACAGTCAACAGAAAGGTGGAGCCTGCCCCCTTTCTGATCAGTTTTTAGTATATAAAAAAAGACAAAGATCTCCAAGAAAGCCTTGAACATAAAAGACCAAAATAAACAAAAGAAACAGATAGCAGAAGAGATAAAGCAACTCAAAACAAAACAAATAAACACAAAATACAACATCCCCAGAGACACAGAGACATTTTATCCAAGAAACAACAAAACAACAAAAGAATATTACAAAGAAAGGACTGGCAGTGTATGTGGGGGAAAGATCTCACCCAGAAAAGCAAAACAAAAAGCCAAAGAACTGAAAAGGAAAACCAGAGGATCAAACCAGCATTCAAAATCTCAACAAGGAGAGTGCCAAAGAGAAAGAAGAGAGAAAACAAGGGTGGGGGATCAGCGAAACAATACAAATACAGCTCCCAGAATGAAATAAAAAAAAGGCTCTGTTTTTCTAACTAAAATAGTTCAATAAATGTCAGCATGAAGAATGATAAACAGACATACACAACACATACCAGTTCACATGACCCTGACATATAAGGCAGCTGGGGATTTAAAAAAGTCCTGTGACTTTTCAGAACCCCCCCTCCTACTCCCATCCCAAAGGCCACATACAAAAGACTGAGGATTAGGGTGGCACTGGACTTTCATAGCAATTCTGCAAGTCAAAGAAAATATTGACCAGTACCATCAAAGTTCCAAGGCAAAATTAATTTCAAACTAGAATTCTATATCCAGCTAAATTAAGTAATCAAATATGAAAGGGCAGAATAAAGACATTCTGACATGCAAAGTCTTTAACATTTTGCCACATATGCATTCTTTCTCAGGAAGCTACTAAAGATTCAAGAAGTTTTAACCTAATTAATCAATCAACTGATCCATTAAACAACAATAGCAACAAGCAAAGGTGTTCAGCAAGGAAAAGAAACGCATGGGATCCTGGAATGGGCTTTCCATAGCAGAAATGAGGGAAGGCACAGATGATGGTGCTGGTTGTGCAACTATCCTTCAGGACATCCAGAAAGCCAGCTGGCTCCAGGAAGGGCGTATGAAGAGAGTAGAAACGCTAGCTGAGTTGTGTTGAATAGTGTGGAAATTAGTATTCAAAGACAGTCAGTTTAGCACATGTTTGGCTGCAAGTTTCTAAAGATCCGATTCAGAATGGCCTAAAGGATAAACGGGAGTTTATTCTCTCACATAACCAGAGGTACAGGAGGAGGCAACTTCAGTAGCTGATTTGTTCAGCAGTTCAACATCACCATCGTTCCAGATTCTTCCTACCTGTTGCTGCTCATCTATCCTCTGCATGCTTTTAACCTTCTCAGCTGCAAGATGCTGCATGCCACACTCTAAGCCTCTGATCCGCACACACCAAAGCCAGCCACGGGAAAGGGACTCTCTTCCTTGTGGGTCTATTAGGAAACCTTCCCCAGAAACACCACTTCTCTTCTACGGTCCTTGGCCAGGCTCCTTCCAATCCACCGCTGACTGAAGGGATGTGCCCCAGGGTTAGTTCACAGCAGTGCTCTATTGCACTAGACACTCAAGGGAATTATCTCCATAGCCCGGTGGAATAATAAATGAAGCTGTGAAAATCTCAGCACATCTGGCACCCATTCATCACATTGGGTGTGAAATGTTGAATTAGACCAGTCAGGATATCAGAGCCACAGGGTAAAGATTGTGAACATCAGAATAACATGGGAGGCTAGTGGGCTGAATAAAAAAAAAAAAAAAAGGAAAATGGTACCTGCTGGAGAAGAGTTTAAGCGATTCTCATTAAAAGTTTGGTAAATAAGAGGAACGTAGGAAAGTAAGCAAATGAAAATAAATGAGACAGTTATTAATTCCAGGGTAAATAAAATGGTTTAGGAAATGACAGTTCACTAGTTATTTGAATATTTCACAATTTATGTCAGTATAACTGATTTATCAAAAATGATGCAATTATACTGGGAACATGGAGAGAAAAAAAGTGGGGCAGGAGAGGTAGTTAAGTCTTAATCTATATTGTCCCATAACAGGAAGTCAAAAGAAAGTGCCTTAACTGCTACACAATCCCTCCCCCTTCAAAAAAAATCCCACCAAAAACTATATATTTAAAAATTTAGCAAAGCTAAACGAGTTGGAAGTAGTTGCTTCTGGGGAGGGCCAGGCAGGATTGCACCTTTTATTACACACTTTATAGTACTCTAACTTTTAAAATTCTGTATGTCACTTTATTTTTTTTAGTCTCATAGATAGAAAATAGTGAGGTTCCCCCCACTTTCTGAATGGGCCCTTTATATGGAAAACACAAACTCACAATGTATTACTCAAACACAAGCAAGTTCTGATGTTGCCTTTCCCCCCATTCACCTCCTCGCCCCATCCCATTCCCCCAAGCTGTCCCTGTCCCACCCTTACACTGGTGGGGTCTAGGTAGTGGGGGTCTGGGTAGTGGGGGTTAAGGGGATTCATGCCAAGGAGAAGTATGAATGGGTCAGCTCTTTTACGTTGGGTGGAATTCAAAGTTCCAGGCAGGAGAAGGTGGCAGGTGAAGTTCTGGGAGTAGTCCTGAATGTAGTTCAAACTTCTGCACTGTTAACAAATTAGCATCTACTTCCTAACTCAAACCCTATAGGTTTCCACTACTTTAAGGATAGTCCCAAAGAAGAAAATTTCATCAAAGGAAACTATTTATAGGGAAAGCCCAGATCCAAAGATAGGCAGATTTCCCCAGTGACCTTGACCTTACCAACCCTACCCATCATGATCCCCTAACTCACCTAGCACCGTGGTCGGCAAACTGCAGCTCACGAGCCACATGGGGCTCTTTGGCCCCTTGAGTGTGGCTCTTCCTAAGCCTTAGGAGTACCCTAATTAAGTTAATAACAATGTACCTACCTATATAGTTTAAGTTTAAAAAATTTAGCTCTCAAAAGAAATCTCAATCGTTGTACTGTTGATATTTGGCTGTTGACTAATGAGTTTGCCAACCACTGACTAACACATTCTCCCTATTAGCCCTAATTTCGAGTAGCTTTCAAACAAAATCTAAGGTGGAACCCAATCCATAAGGCAGCTAGGAATGTGGCTGCCCTGGATGCAGGTTACCCTCCACTCCCTGCATCCATCCAGGCCCTAAGGTGAACAGTTCCTGAAGTTCAGCTCACAACCATTAAGTCCCACCTCAGTGACCTCAAAACTCCCCTTAGCTCTTCTTTTCTACATCCTGCTTTCCTCTGAGGCCCTCTCAAGTCCCACCCCCTCCATGGAGCCTTCTCAGACTGCTGCTCACAAAGGATGTCTTCCCCTGAAGCAACTCATGCAACCACTTTATATGTATTTGGTTGGTCCCACTGCATCTGACCATTAAACCCTTAACATCACTCCCTCACACTGCGATTTACTTACTACTCAAGACGATAAAGAAGATGGCTGGAATTTTTTTTAAAGGGCATTTTTAGAAAGCATTTTATAAATAAATTCATATACAAAGAAGCACATACACCGAGTACACAAATTACCAGTGTGGTGGACCCCTAGCCCTTCTCTCCACTCTGGGAAAACAGATCTGACGAGAAACAATGATTCCAACTTGGTAATTGTGTCCATCTACACAGACAGTTTTTCAAGCAGCATTTCTACTCCTTTGCTGGTGCTTTTGTTTTTCTGCAATGTGGGGATCAGGCTTTTCAGTCCAGCTTTGACTTTGCTTGCAACTTCTTGATCAGAACTCTGGAGAAGGCTGAAGAGAGAAGACAAAAACTAAATTCCATAGAAATCCCTAGATTGTCTGCCAGTGCTACCTGCAGCCACAGTAAACAAAATTTATTGACTTGTGAGACAAGTCTTATAACTATAAACGCATTTTTCTATCAGATAAACGATAAGGCTAGTAGCCTATGTTCTAAAACCACATAAATAAAAACCATTTCATAGTCTTGTTGGTGGAGTCACTCAAGGAAAAGTAGGAGCAACTCTGTTCCATATAGAATTGGTCCTTTCACTTTGACTATCTTAGGACTAACACCCTGCCTTAAAATTATTTTACTACATGTATTCTATCTCCCCTTCTCCACCTGAACTCAAAAGCAGAAACCTGGTGTTTTTCTCCATGGCACTACGTGTACAGAACAGATGGCCAAGAATATTCACTGAGCCTCTGAATTCACATGAATGAACAGGTGCACAGAGAAAGGTGGGGCCGTGAAAGGGAAGCAGTTGACGGCCTCCTTACTGAACTCTGCAGCTAGAACATTTAGTGAAGGGGTGAAGAGCTTTACCTTAGCGCTTAACTGCCTACATCTGAAACCTGCCTCTGCCACTCAATAACTGAATAGCCAAGAGCAATGCTATTTAAATTCTCTTACACTCTTGACCTGTAAAGTGGGATCAACAACAGAATCACCTTTTTCCTCACAGGGTTGTTTTCGGGGCTCAAATGATCTTGTATGTAAAGCACCTAGCCAGACCCTGACACTCAGTAAGCATTCAATCAGTGTGAGTCATTAAGCAAAATAACATCAGCTCTGCTTCCGGAGACCTTGCTGGAGTGATCCATCACCAGGGAACGCGGCCGCAGAGGCGGGCTACTGTGGGGAGCCCATATAGGGTTAAGCCTTGGACTGACCTGTTGGCAAAGTCACAAACAAGTCCCAGCTTAGAGGGCACAGTCCTCTTAAGCATAATTAGGCTTGACCTTATGACACTCCCTAGATCTTATCTGGGAAGCTAATGGGCTGAGGGAAGTGCAGCAAGAACAAGAACAAAAACAAGTGAAACTCACAAGAACAGTATAAATAAGTGAAACTCACAAGAACAGTGTAACTTTGGTAACCACTACCTTATTTACCTCTGACTATAAAATAAAGACTCAGTTTGCCTCAGATCTTTCTCTGTGGCCTCAGCCAGGCACAGGAAGGTCCACGGAGACTAAAGAGAGCTAGAGAGCTATGAACGCTGTCTCCGTGTAAATCATTCTTCACCGACTCCTCCACACCTTTGGGAACTCCTGGCCCGCTGGGACCCCGGCAGGCTACATGCAGGCCCTTCTCTTTACATAGGGATTGGGACTCAGGCAGCACACCAGGGCTGAATTTCCTGTCTCCCTCCGCCCCCCCCCCCCCCACTTCTGCAGGACATGTACATGTGAACTTCTTAAACATATGCTTGGCATTTTTTAAAGTGCCTGGTCCCAATAACTTTCATCATGTTGAGAAAGAGAAGGATAAGCTAGCAGCCCCAAGCAGCATTATCTCACTCGTGGGATACAAGCAACAAATACTGCTTGCCACCTATGAAACTGAAAAGTGCCCTTTTAATAGATCTGTGACTCACTACGCAATTTTATTTTAAATACCTTGGCTAAGCACATAGTCACATAATGCACAGTGATAAAAGTTGATATTTATTGAGCATGTGTATTGGACATAATGCTAAGTATTTTATATGTATCATCTCATTTAATTTTTTTATAACAACACAGAACTATTATTTATTTCATTTTAAAACCCAGAGAATTAAGACTCAGAAGCTGAATAAAGTGCCGAAGGCCACACAGTGAGCTGGGACTGGAACCCAGTCTGTTTGTCTAGAGCTCATGCCTGCTAGACAATTCTGCTTCCCTGGGTTAGTATTCAGACTGCACAGAAGGCTGATTTTCTTTTTCACCCAGAATGCTTTTTCACTTAATGCAAAAAATATTTAGAAAAAAAAAATTGCAAGAGTTTGAAGTAAACTATAAGCAGGCAGATCATTTTACCAAACAAGTCAAGCACATGACAATATTCTAAGAACCAAACAAAAATGATTACTGTATTAATAAATTATTAGGTTATCTATGGTTCATCTTCCCTTCTGAACTCCAAATACTTCATGTGCTCCTGCTCCAATTCTAAGCAGTGTTCCATAAGAACCTATAACATCCCCCATATGTTTGCAATCCACCCAAGGGCAGCTCAGATTGATGAACGATCTCTATAAATTAATTTTATAAATTAATTTTATGGCACTGCTGAAATTTCTAGTTAATTAAGTGTAATGAAAGAATGTGTCAGTAGATGGTAACCTTTCAAATGTCTGATAAAGAAATTTATATAAAAAAAGTGCATGTTTCAGCTCATATATTCTGGGTGTTAAACATCAACTGAAAAATTAATTTTAATGGGAAATGAACAAAATGATGTGTCACCCATGTTTGTAGATATTGATAAACCTGAAAAAAAGAAATGTTCATACGGAATGTGTATGTTTGTAAGTATATTATATAATTAAATTATATATTGAACAAACATAACATTTACCGACATTACAGATAAAATTGCATAGCATTTGCATGTGAAATACTGAGGGAAATTCAAACTAAGATTGGTATGTTTTCCAAACCTCGGTAATACAGCAAGGAAAATTAACAGTGATTGCTTTAAAACAATCTACAAACAAACCTACTTTTAAATGAATGTTCTTAATAGACGGTTTCATCTGGAAATAGAATACACAAATTTTCGATGACCTGTAAATTATAAACTTAACATACGGTGTCTAGAGACAATATGCAAGTTAAGCATATGCCTCAATTCACAAATCATCAGTTTCCTATCCAAATTAATTAGAAATAAACAATACTTGTGCAGACTTCAGAAGCAAATGCTTTTTAAATCCTTTTAGAATAGTTGAGAACAATGAATGAAAAGTACATGTAAATTCAGTCACAATTTAAAAAATAACTTGTCAACATTTTCCTAAGGACAAGACTAATTCATTAAAAAATATATACAGTCCTGGCTGGTGTGGCCCAGTTGGTTGAGCATCAACCCCTGCACCGAGGGGGCACCCATTCAATTCCAAGTTAGGGCACGTGGCTGGGTTGCTGGCTCAATCCCCAGTAAGGGGCATACAGAAGGCAGCTGACATAAGTTTCTTTCTCTCATTGCTGTTTCACTCTCGATTTCCCTTCCTCCCTCTCTAAAAATATTAATAAAAACATGTTTCTTTTTAAAAAAAGAACCCAAATACATTTTGGTCAAAACCATAAATGTGATGTGATAATTAAATGATTCCTCTGAATGTTATAATTCTATGATCCTTGACATCCAAAAGAGGGTAGATGAAAAAAACTGCAAGGACTGATTGAAAGAGTTATATGTGCTTTCTACTATTTGCTATACTTGTATAGCTCATGAATGACTGAAAGTAATGCTGGACTATGGCGAGCAAATGGTGGAACGGAGATATAAATGTGAGAAGTCTTTTGCATGAACAAGCATTCAGGATGGGGACCCTGCGCAGAGAAAGACACACATTACACATACCCAGAAAGAATGATGGCACCTCGATTTACACCAGCCCACGACTTCAGGTTCTTCATACCGACATGTTCTACAAGTGTCTTTGCAAAACAACCTGTAAAATATACTGAAACTTAGTGGACATCATATACCAAGATTTAAATCCCCAATCTCCCTCTCTACTGCCCTTAAATCTGTATGTTTTAATAAAGCTAGTAAAAAGAGTTCTCTCCCAAACTCCCCTAAGATGAAAAATTCCTGTTCAGGTTTATATAATGCATTTTTTGTAAAGCCATTTCTTTCAAATCTGATTCAAATCCTAAGCTATGTTAGCAGTAATAACTCAAGAAAAACGCTCACTTGGTCATGTTTGTGCTTCTTTGTTCTACTGAACGACTTAACCCTGACCTGAAAGGTACTCAGGAAGTACATGTTTGACAGCAGCACCTACGCAACACATGGAATCAGTGTGTTCTACTTTTGAATCTTGGCGGGCCTTTATGTCTCACTTAACCAAGGGAGTACGATAAAAGTGATGCTAAACAATTCTGAGGTTAAATCACGAAAAAATCACCCACCTACTTTGTTCTTTTAAAACCAAACCCTCCATGCTCTAAGGAAGCCCACGCAGCAGCCTAGGGAGAGGAACTGAGGCTGTTGGCCTCAGCCGTTGCCAGCTACTATGAAACTAGATTCCAACCCCTAGCTGAGCAGCACTCTGCACAGAGGAAAAACAAGCTCCTGATCAAACCCTGATCAAATGATTATTTTTTTGAAAACTACTGTTTTGAGGTAACTTATTATACAACAAGAGATAACCAAGACAGCTAGCCACACTCATGTGGTGCTACGTGAAGATGACAAACATCTCAGGCATGTGGTAGGGCTCTCAGTGCATTTTGATTAAGAGGAATAAAACTACTAGAAAATTCCTGGACTTTGGAAAAGATGATTCAGTATATTGTTTTTTCTTCAAAATATAAGAAGCTTTTCTCTTCTATAAAAAATTTAGTGAAAAATAGTTCCATGTCTCTATTCTCAAAGGTAGAGTGAGAAATGAGAGCTCTGCTATATTGACTGCCTTACTAACCATTAGAACTGCAACTTGCCTAAAGACATACATTCATAATCTGTCAGTTTTTTTCAAATACAGTCATAAAAGGCCCAAACTACTTAAACGAGGAAAGTCTCTTTAGTGGCTAAAATACCAGAGGGAGTTGAATTTACTAAGAGAAGGTCTGGTCAAAGACAGGACTGAGAGGGGAATGGTATGCAACTTTTCGATTAGATAAGAGATGCTGTCCTCCTGGAGAGCTGAGTTTACAGAACAGCCATGAGGTTTATGAAAAACCAATAAATACCAACCACTGGCTTGCTCTTCGGTCACATGTACTTCAATGCCAAATAGACACCAGTTCAAAATTCTCTGATAAGGATAATTTTCTTCTGCATATCCCTTCCTCAAAACTAGAGATAAATACCATGCCTTTCAATTGGGGTAATGATACTCACAAATCCCCTCCTCACCCCCACTGTACTGCTCTCACCATCCTCAAGAAATAGAATGGTGTTTCAGAAAGCTGGCCAAGCCCAGTCAGAATTCTGAAGTAGCAGAGAAAAGAGGAGTAAGAGGGGGGACCGGGGAAAGAGGAAAAAAATTAAAGGATTCTAGGACACAAATTTCTAGCATTTACTAAAGCAATACTTGCAACCACTAAATCAGTTCTTACTTATAGGACACTATTTCTGAACACTCAACAAACTCAAGTGAACTTGCATGGCTGACATCAAGTTCAGGGATGCCAAGAATTACTGAAATCTCACTTAGGCCACAACCCAAAGGTTAAGTTTAACAACCTACCTTCTCTTCCGTTTTCTTTCATCTTTTTATCTTGTTCTATTAACCACTTCAGAACAAGGTGTCCTGCAGGATGTTCTGCAATGTGAAGCTAGGAGGCATCAAGAATACATTAATTTATTTCATCCATGCCTTGGCCTACAATCCATTCTACATCACCATATACAGATAAGGACTCAGCCATGTTGAAAGTTCCATAAGGCTTAAGAGATCTTTATCTAGAATGACCATTATACCTGGAGGTCTATCCTAATCCCCAGACTAAAATGAGGACAGTTGTTCAAGACAACACAGCCACTGATAACTAGTTTAGGCTGGGCTTCATGAGTCCCGGTTTAAAAAGCACCCCCAAAAGTTCATCTTGAGATCAAACTCACCACTTTTCAGACTGCGATATGCAGTTATGAGGTACAAATACACCTATGGGACAGAACCCTTTAGCAAAACATTGAAAACTAATGCTGAATGTTGACATACAGGCATTATCTGATTCCAGCCAAGAAAGCATCTTTTTAGCTCAATCTTACTCCTTTTTCAAGGCCATATCATTGTTCCCACAGTACTTAGGATCTCTCCTTTTGAAGCACGGTAAACAAGGGGCCCAATTTCTTTAAAAAGAAACTTTCACTATGCACGCATCGTCCCTATTTGCTAATATGATCAGCCTTATGAGGGCAGGGGCCTGGGCTTCTCTAAGATCCACAGGCTCCCATATACATCTATCTGTTCATCAGGAACTTACCACCTAGTGCAGGGCAAGGGTCCCACATAATCTGGCTTCTGCCTTCCTCTCCTCTTTGCTAAGCGATTTCCAACCCCTCCAACCTTCTGTTCTTACACAAGTTGAGCTCCTTCCTTCCTTCAGGCTGCTGCACATGCTCTTCCCTCTGCCGAGAATCTTCTTTCTACCATTCTTCACTAAGCTACTAATCCTTTGGGTTTAGCTTTCACTGCCCCAGGGAAGCCTTCTTGGGGATAGGATGACTCCCACTTACAATACCATAGAACCTGTAGTTTTCTTTCACAGCGCTTATTTCAATGTGAAATGATTTTTTTGAAATGATTATTTTTTATTTAAATATTATATTCATGTTCATCAAAATGGTAAGCTTCTGGGGAAGAGGGGCAGCGTTGACCCAAATAAATATAGGCAGAGCCTATCAGAAACAGCAAAGACTTTTTACTAAGAGGGGATTAGGGGAGATGTCACAGAGGATTCTAGGGATCCTGAAGTGAGAAGGCTTTCTACATGGAAAGCATAGGACCACAGAGATATGGGCAACACTCGAGACTGAGGGAAGAAGCATGGACAAATGCAAAGAGGTTCAAAAGTCCAGAAAAAAATTCAAAATAGAATTAAGAGCATAGAATACACTGGGAAGACAGCTTGGGGCCAATCATGGATAACAGAGAGACTTATTTTTACTCAGGGTGTCACTGCAAGGCAGTGTTGCAACAGCACTGTTTCGAATTCAGTTTTCAAATGCAATGCTGATATGCAGTGAGTGAGACAGTTATGACTGAAATCCTCCTTGCAGCTTTCCTGCCTGTCTAAGAGCACATTACCTCTCCATCCTTGCCGCCAGGATGCAGTTCTGCTGCTGCCAAGCTGGCGACGGCATTCATGGCAGGTTGAGCGTCTCCAATGGCAGCTCCCAGAATGCAAGGCACCAACACACAGGCAGACTTATCTAGCACCATTTCTTGGGCGTGACCTTGCAGGTAGCTTAACAAAGCTGGGGAGATGGATTCTAAGAGCTCTCTGCGCCGGATCTGTGTATCTTTTTTACTGTTGGAATAGGTTGAATGAGTAGTAAGGTGAGATAAATGGCAAAGGAAACATGGTGACTGTATTTTCACAAAAACCTCTAAACAATCTGTGGCATACACTACTCTATCTTTCTGTTATGCATGTGCATAAGTGATTTGAGGGTGGGATGTGTCTTTCATGCTTGTGTCGTAGGATGTGACTAGCACCTGCACAGAACAAGCACTCAACAAGTGAAGCTTGCCTTATGTAATAATAATAAAAAAAACAACCCTAAACCAAATGACAACAAAGTATCTTATAAGACAACCCATGTTTACACCATTTTATGAACTCTACTCTGTAGAATACTCAATTATGTGGTACCAATAGCTTTAAAATAAAGCAAAACCAAAACAATCACACACCTAAGTACCTACTATGTACAAGGGGCTCACAGGCATTCTTCTGGCACAACACTTTTATTTTCAGGATAAAAATGAATACAGGTTTAAAAATGGAATTCACTTTTTGATTTTTGGAGAGAGAAGGAGCATGAGAAGGGGCCTGCATGCAGGAGTAGATTTCTGGAAGCAGGCACTACTGAAATTAATAAATCAGAGGACAAAGGGCGCAACCCATCTACCGTTCTTACCTGTGTGCGTTTCCATCTCCTTTCTGCAGAACTTCAATGATTTCTCGTACTGTATGTGCAGGATCTCGGGGGCTTAGTAGGTACAACAGGACCTTCCTTCCATATTTGTCATTTAATATGTTAGACAAGGAACTAATAATTTCCTGTAAAATTACAGAAACAAAAAAAGTGAATCTGTATGCTCAAAGGATGCTTGGAATCTGAATGGCAAAGAAGGATACATACTTAACTACTTCCCCCATCTTACTTAATGGAAAATGTGCAGCTAGCTGTAAAATCGCCTCATTAAAGCACCAGAGATTTACACTCAGAACACAGAACAGATTCTCTGCTGTGACTGGCATTACTGAAAAATCCAAGGAGACTTAAAAATACTTAAAGCAGTTATCTCCAGTCACTATATAAACGATAGTACTTAGGCCACCATTACCACAGCAGATCAGTTAATTTGCATCTGCACTTAAGTGTAGCATCAGCATCGATGAAGAACATTCTTATTAGAATTTCCCATTGAGATGTATGTGGAGGGAGATAAAGAAGCTCTGTTAAACAGGACAAGTGGATAAAGGCTTTTAAAGTTAGGTTGCTCATTCATGGCAAATGAGGGCTATTTAAGTATCGCACGAGAAAGGGGAGGGAAACGTGCAAAAAGACTCCACAAAGCAGTTACAAGTAACTACACTCTATGAACAGTAACCTTTTCTAGTTGTATGAATTTAAGGAACAATGGCAATGGCATCCCTATCTCAATTAAGCTCCTGTGTAAATTTGTTGTTTTCAAAGACAAAAAATTCACTGTTTAAAAATCCCTTTACACTTAATAGAGAATACACAACAGAAAAATCATCAGCTATTTCCCCCTCTAACATTCCTATTTCATGCCACAAGCCTAACAGATACTCAAAGCCATGTAGGTTTTAGCACCAGATATTCTCGACTGGCTGGGGCCATAGAAAGAATTAGGTCCAATCACGCAGGTTTACAGATGAGGAACCCAGAAAGAGGAGAGTAACTCTGCCACAGGATATAGAGTATCAGTGGCAGGACTCTGACAAGTTCTGGTCCCTGATTCTAACTCTAGCCTCTTTCAAAGAAAACATAAGCTCTCTATTAAGGAAATGAATTCTCTATGAGATGATATACTCAGATTTGCTATTCTCTTAAGTGCCTATTTATTACAATGAGATCAGTAATTTTAGTGCAAGGAACCAAACTAAAAATTAAGTCATCACCTCTCCCAAGAAGATGGCCAATAGATATATGAAAAGATGCTCAACTTCACTAGTTATTAGGGAAATGCAAATCAAAACAATGAGATACCACCTTATACCTATCAGAATGGCTACTATCAACAAATAAGTAATATGTGTTGGAGAGGTTGTGGTGAAAAAGGGAACCCTCATTCACTGCTGGTGGGAATGTAAAATGGAACAGCCACTATGGAAAACAGTATGGCGGTTCATTAAAAAATTAAGACTAGAGTTACCATATGAACCAGCAATCCCTCTTCTGGGTACCTACCTGAAAAATTTGAAAATATTTATTCATAAAGATATATGCTCTATGTTCATTATAGCATTATTCACAGTGGCCAAGATATGGAAACAATCAAGGTGTCCTTCAATAGATGACTGGATAAAGATGTGGTACATATATATAATGAAATACTACTCAGCCATAAGAAAAGATGAAATACTGCCATTTGTGACACCATGGATGGATTTTGAGAATATCATGCTAGTGAAGTAGGTCAGATGGAAAAAGTAAAAAAAAAAATCATATGATTTCACTCATATGTGGACATAAAACTGAAAGTGACAAATGAACAAATGAGTAAAAATTCATAGACACAGACATTAATATGGTGGTTAACAGAGGGAAAGGGGGTGAGGGGATGGAAAAAGAGTAAAAGGGGTCAAACATATGGTGACAAAGGAGATTTGACTTTGGGGGTGAACATACAATGCACTACACAGAAGATGTATTACAGAATTGTATACTTGAAACCTATGTAATTTTATTAGTCCATGTCACACCAATAAATGTAATTAAAAATAAAATAATCTTAAAAAGAAAAAAATTAAGTTAGTCATCAACTATGGGATCATGATACAGCAAAGTCCATGACCCTGAGGTTGATGACACAAACCCAGATTCCAGACACATTTTCTCTTTTTAAATTCTCAAACATCTGTTTCCTGCACAAAAGTATACTGTGCTTCCTGTAATTAGTAAGAGCAGCTAAACACTTAAGTGCTCACTAAGAACCAGACCTTATCTGAGAGCGCCATGTCCATCATCTTAAACATTCTTCACAGCATGATGGATGACAAAGGTACTGTAGCTTACTTTAATTTTACATGTAAGAAGCCCAAGGTTTAAACAAGTAAGGTGACTTAACGTAGAGAAGTAAAGGTCACACATCCAGGACATGATCGCCTCTTTCCCTGACTCTAAACCCCACTCTGCTTTTCTACTTTTGAAGAAGTTTAAGGTCATGTATAAAGATTTCCCTATACAACATAAAGGTTTCCAGAGAACAGGTGCAATAGACCTAACCACCTCAAAAAGAATAGAAATTTCAACCATTCAAGGAAAATGAACAAAAATCTCAGTAAAAAGGGCAAGACAAAACAAAATTGTACACTTCACAGAAGAGGGAGCTCTTTTGTAATTTCAAGGTAAACATGACCCAAAGTGGATTCAACATATGCATTAAAAAAAAAAAATCCTCACCTAAGGACATGCTTTTATTGATTTTAGAGAGAGGAAGGGAGAGATAGAGAGAGAGAAACATCGATTGTTTGTCTCCCACACACCCTGACTGGGGTTCAAACTCACAAGCTGGGTATGTGTTCTGACCAGGAATGAAACCTTTGATCCTTCGTTGCCCGGGAAGACACTCCAACCAATTGAGCCACACAGATCAGGGCTCAACATACGCATTTTTGATAATGAAGCATTTAGTGCCACAAATATAGGCTACCATTAGTATGGATTTTCCTATTTAAAGTTTAACCAACCAACTCATGAGAGGAAAGATGCTTTAACTTGCTGAAAGAAGAGAGTGAGGATACACAGCTTAGGCCAATTTCTGTAATCATTTACTGGTAAAAACCCCACAACCTTGCTGTCCTAAAATTCTATTGGCTATAATCCCTTTAAAACAGTTGCTTAAAAAATAAATAAATAAAACACATACACACAAAACAAAAACTCAAAATGGGTGAAGTATTCAGTGAAGAAATATAAATGGCTGCTATTATTCCTCAATGTACTTACTTTCTCTGTGGGTTTCACACTTAAGGACTAGGGTAATATACATAGACGTGGGCAGAAAAGCTTTCACTTTAACAAGAGAAGCTTAATTCCATGTACAAACACTATTCAAGGACTAGTGCCCAAACTCATTGCCTTTCAGTTTGTAATTTAGGAATTGAGAATCTAAAGTTATGTTTGTTTGAGTGTGAAATCACTTAATTCTCCTCGATCTCACCCTCATTCCAGCTTTCCTACCAAAAAAACATATATCTAAAAGGAAACGGTATGAGTGCTGTCATATTAGAGCACTAATTCATTTCTCTTTAACCTAGTTAGAAAGAGGAGAGAAATTTCTAGCGAGGAGAACACTAATGAGTATAGTACGTGTAGAAATAGGTAAGAAGAACCAGTCAACTATTGCAACTATTGGTATCGTTGACTTTTTGCTGAACTCAGTCTTTAAGCTCAAGCAGAGTAGCCTTTGGCAAATCTTTTAACCTCCCCACACATCAATTCCCTTATCTATAAAAGGAAATGATGCACCTGCCTGACTTGTGGGCCATTACCAGGAGCAAAGCTGAAAATTCACACTGCAAACTGAAAAGGGCTATAAAGTGATATATATTTTTTTATTACACAATGCAACAGGCTTTGCAGTGGTTCGGTGGGACGGACACGTGACTCTATACACACATATGCAGCATATTTGGCAACCCAGCAATTTTGCTAAGTAAATGACTTAGAGAAACAAGGATACATACAGGAATGCTCATATGCCCTAACTGGTTTGGTTCAGTGGATAGAGCACCTGTGGACTGAAGGGTCCCAGGTTCGATTCCGGTCAAGGGCATGTGCCTTGGTTGCGGGCACATCCCCAGTAGGGGGTGTACAGGAGGCAGCTGATCAATGTTTCTCTCATCGGGGTGGGCAAACAAAGGCCCATGAGTCAACCTGCAGCCTATTTTTGTACATCCTACAACTTAAGAATGGTCTTTACATTTTAAAGGGCTGTTAAAGAATAAAAACAAAATAAACGGGCAGCAGAGATCATATATATCCCACAAAGACTAAAATACTATCTGGCCCTTTTAAAAAGGGCTTGCCAACTCCTGATGATAAATTCCACAAACATAACATCAAACGAAAAAAGCAAGTTACATAAGAAAATATACACAATATTACTGACATGGAATCTGTAAACATGCAAAATAGTACTATATACATCTACATATAGCAAAAGGATAAGGAAATGCATGTGAATAATAAACACAAAATCCATCACCATGAGTGAGGGTGAGGGTGGATATGCAATCATGGACAGGTACACAAAGGGCTTGAACTTTTACTGTATTTGTCAAGTTTCACTTCTTTATCAGATAGTAGGTGGCTGAATATCCACTGTATAATTCCTTATACCTTTCTGTATGTTTTAATAATATATTTCCTTTTCTGAGAAACACTGCTGTTAAAGCAGCTGCATCATACCAACAATTCCAGGGTAAAATGGATAAAATTGTATAGGTATGTTTATTTTGGAAATTTAGTAGGTGGGAAACAGTGTGCATCTATTTTTTTAGAATGTTTTTTATTGATATTTTTAAGGGAGAGAGGCATCGATGTGAGGAGAAACATTGATTGGCTGCCTCCCTTATGCACCCGGACCCACGGAACCCAAAACCTGGGCATGTGCCCCGATGGGGAAATGAACCGGCAACCTTTTGATGCATTGGATGACACTAAACCAACTGTGCCACATCGGCCAGGGCAGTGTGTGTATCCAGTTAGAAAGGTGAGGGCTCAGCTGACCAGTCTGTTATATCAACATGGTATTTCAGGAAGTCTGGCTACCTTGAAGAGAATTCTTAGCAACACTAAGCTTTCTTGTGTATTTTGAAAAAGAACTGCATACTGCAACAGGTTTTCTGGTAGATCGGTGGGGAAAATGCAAGAGCAATTAGCATTCCAGGATTTTATCACCAGCTACATAGTGTAATGACACACAGAAGCTGTTGAGCATTTGTCAGCTAGAGGCAAGAGATCAGTAAATCAGGCCATTCTCGGAAAGCTGCCCTGAGTATGAGAAAGTCATTAGGAATGTGGTTAAGTAGTGGTGGGAATCAATCTGATAAGCACAAGGAATTAAAACTGTTTCAGCTGCAACTTTAAGTGGGCTAAATCTTTGGAAAATATCCAGCAGACAAATTGTGGCAAATCTTGAAGGAAGTATAGTTTCTCTTGAAATCTATCTGGAACAATTATGCAGATTTTACTTGTCCTGAAAATATTAAACAAAAGCAAACTTTGAATAGCCCAGCCTGTTTCCATTTTCATGAAACAACTTTGTTCATTAAAAAATCTATGGCCTCACATCACTGTCACTGGAATGAAAAACGATCATTATTGACTGGAGTCAAAAGGGTAATAAAGATACAAGGAACATGTCAAAAAACTCAGTTTGTGACATGAAAGTCTTGCCAATGGTTTCTTCCCACAATCTTATCCCAAAGGAAGTCATCACAATCTTAAAACAGTCAAGGGGAAAGTTGGAAAAAGACAGCCAGGGCATGAGAAACTCACACACACTGGGACCTACAGCTGGCATCTAAGAAAAATCTCCTTCCCCTCTGCTGGCTGATACATTTCCCCCTACACCCAGCTCTACTGGTCTAGACAGGCTACAGAGAGAGGCCACAGCACTGCCACATGCCAACAGGTAAAGTCTCTTTCTGAACCCCATCTGCTTCTCTCTGCAGCTGGCATGAAAGTAGTTTTTGTCACTGAGATTTCTCCAAAGGCCCCATCCATGGTATCAAAGAGAAACGTTTGTGTAATTTTCAGATGAATATTTCTATACAGATTATGTGGTTTTTACAATGTACCCAAGTTTTGTCCCTGCAACCAATGCTGCAATTTCTTAACTCTACCCCTGCAACCTCTATTACATATCCAACACTACCTGCACACTAGAAATAAGGAAGGGAAGAGGAGAGCAGATTCAGAAGTCAATCATTGCAGAATGAAGGAAATGATTTTGGAATGCAGTTTTTACTTTGGAGTAGTACTTTCAAGAGGACAGCTCAGTTTTTCTGAAGGAAAATTTAGGGTTAAATAAATTGCATTCAATTATTACCACTTTATGCTCATTATACTAGGCTAAAAGGAATTGCTGAAATGTAAACAGGAAGCTAGTATTTTCATTTTAGTAATAATTTTTAATCTGACTCTACAAAAACTTTGAAAGCTCTAGGAAGGATCACAATTGAGTTTTATCAGATTTGCTTCTCCAGCTCAATCAGGACAGATGTATTGACAGGCTGGGTAACTGTGCAGTGGTAGTTTCTCCACAGGGAGAGGGAGAAAGGTCACAGGTGTCCTCTGCCTGGATATGAGCTCCTGAATAATTGAAGAATTACTATGTCAACGAATTTCTAATCAAATCTAAGCACTGCTTTGCTAAATTTTCATTTAATATGTCATATGGTCTAAAAAGTCATATTATCCTAATTTAAACATTATTTTACATATTTAAAACAATAATTATTAATATCAAGTTACTAGATTATGGTTTATACAGGAATAAAGCAAATCCCCCAAAGAGATTTAATGTCAACTAATAAATAACGGAATACCATCAAGGAACAAATAATTCAAAGTCTTTACACATATATGTGAAATAACACTTAAATATCCACAAATGATATATCAATGTAACTTAAATTCAAGACCATGATAATTACTTACAGATATGATTATCTGCTTCACAAGCTTAGTATCATCAATACAATCAAACGCCGCCAGTAAAACCAAATGGGAGTATTGGCCCTGTAAGAATCGAAAACCAGGAAAGGTTAAAAAATTCGTAGCTTACCCTTTCATTCCACCTCTGGAGTCACTTTATAAAGGTTACCAACCTGGTAACCTGCACAACATAATACAAATAAGAGGGATAAAAGCCATTCAAAGGAATTCTTATCAGGACCTAGTTAATAATATTCTAGGTTGATTTTTTAAAAAGAAAAACAAACAGAAAAGCACATTCTTCAATATCAAATAGCCTGGACTCATTACATCTTTCAAAAATAGGTACTCTGTTAATGAATAGCTACCAAAAAAAATTAAACTAAAAAAGAAATGCAATAGGTTAAAAAAAACCACAAGAATATAAAACATATAACACTATTATATAAACCCAAATATAATTATACATATACAAAGTATACAAAATACATGTATACAGAAAATCCTAGATCATTATAATGTAATAGTCACCTCTGGGTTGAAGGATAAAAACTTTTCATTTTCTTTTATATATTGTCCAATTTCTTTAAAATAATTCTATATAATTAGACTAGAAATACTAAAAATAAACTAGAATATACTTATATACTAAATGAGAAATAAAAATAATTGTGTTTAAAAAGTATAACAGCAAGAGATCATACAAATACACACTGTGAATTTCACAATGTCTACCTCTTGAACCGATAGAATTATTCCAGGATGCTGATATAGTTCCAAAGAGTTAAAGAACTACTTTATAACAAAGAAGAAGAAAGTGCATTCAGAGTTTGAGGCCTATTCTTCTTGTATTCTAGATAGTATGAACCTTTCTTTACTTTGAGAGAACATTTGACTTTGACAACCCTCTTCAGAGCCAGGTCTGATGAGTATGGCAAATAATAACATTTCAGTTAGAGAAATAACAAAGGTCTAACATCTTTACTATATAAAGACCAACAATCTACTAAAAATGGGCAAAGAAAATGAAGAGTCAGTTCACTGAAAAAGAAATACAAATGGCTCTAAGCATATGAAATAATGCTCATTAATTAAAGGCAATAATTAAAACAATAAAATATCATTTTCCACCTATTCTATAGGCAGAAGTGAAAATCCTTGATAATATCCTAACTTGGCAAAGGTCTGGAGAAAAGCAAGGACACTTTTATGTTGTTGGTGAGAATGCAAAGTAGTTCAACTATTTTGAAGGGCAACTGACAATATCTAAAAAACTTAAAATGCATGTACTTTCTGACTCATCAATTCTAGTTCTAGAATTGCCTTGTAGCCATGCTTCCACATATGCACAGTGGACATGCACTGGAGTACTATTTGAAATAACAAAAAACTAGGAACTACCTAAGCGTCCAATAGTAGGGACTGGTTAAATAAATTATGAAACTCATATAATGAAATATTATGAAGTCATCAAAAAGGTGAGGTAGATAGATGTACATATATGTATGTTGAAATAAAATAACCCGAGACAAATTAAGTGAAGGAAACAAAGTAGAGAACAATGTGCATATAGTACACAAGCTTTGGTTTCTGATTTTTTAAGTCTGACACACAGGAACATGCCCAAGCACAAAACATCTGAGTGAACACAAAAATAGCTGGTACAGAATTGAAGTGAGAAACAGACAATTCACAATTACAGTTGGATATTTTAAGGCTTCTTTTAGTAACTCATAGAACAATGATAAATAAATTAGTAAAGACTTTGATTATCTGAACACTATCAACCACTTTGATCTAATTGACATTTATAGAGTACTACACCCTATAACTCCAAAAAACACTTTCCTTTCAAGATACCAAGATAGACCATGTTAGGCCATAAAATAAGTATTTAGAAAAGGATTAAAATAATAGAGTATGTCAGGAAACCCCCAATATTTGGAAATGACACACTTCTAAACAATCCGTAAGTCAAATCCATGGGTTGTATTAATTTAACTCCCCCCTTAGAAGGAACTTCTTGAGATAAAAAATACATTGCATTGTTAATTTCTTGTTACCATTACAATGCCTTGCGGGGATTAGTTTCTTGAAAAAATTTGTTGTTAAAAATAAACATGAAGTTAAAATAATCTAATTTTATTACTTAAAAATATCTTTTACAACTAATACTTTTTAGAACTTTCTACTAACACAGGGGTGGGCAAACTTTTTGACTCGAGGGCCACAATTGGTTCTTAAACTGGACTGGAGGGCCGGAACAAAAGCATGGATGGAGTGTTTGTGTGAACTAATATAAATTCAAAGTAAACATCATTACATAAAAGGGTACGGTGTTTTTTTTTTTAGTTTTATTCATTTCAAATGGGCTGGATCCGGCCCGCGGGCTGTAGTTTGCCCACGGCTGTACTAACATCTTGTTTATACTTATTTCTAATTTAAAATATTCAAAATAAAATGTTATACAAAAAGACTTACTTGATGATGAATAATCCTATCTAATAAAAGACAAAAAGGGTAATTGACCGTACCTTTGCTACGCTTCTCATTGGCTAATCAGGGCAATATGCAAATTAACTGCCAACAAAGATGGCGGTTAATTTGCATACTAGGCTCCAAGTGGTGGAGCGAAGCCAAACGTACCCAAAGCCTGCTGAGCCACGAGGCCTCACGCCCCCGGGATCGCAGAGCAGCGAAACCTGATGGCTGGGGGGGGGGGGGGGGGGGGCCCTCTGGCCGGAGCCAAGCCAGAGCGAAGGCCTGGGTCCCGGGTGCCAGAGGAAAACTGGTGCCAGCAGCCAAGGGAAGGGAAGGCCTATTGCACAAATCTCTTCGTGCAACAGGCCTCTAGTAAATCATAAAATATTCTTATACTCTGATACAACCCACTAGAGAATCTTATTTCATTTTGTTACAGAAAAGTTAGCTGCCTTTTAAGTGATTTTATACTCTCCTCCTGGTCTCCAATCCTACAGAAGACAACAGGTATGTATTCATTCACACAGCAGCAAATGTGCTTGAATTAGTATTTACTACATTAAGATGCTAGTAGTTCTCATTAGATTTTTCATAGGAAAAAGTTGTTGATAATACAAATTTTAGTTCTCCAATAAATAAGAGGTTATAAAACATAATATAATAACTCAAAAAATGTTATAGTATTTGCTACTACAAATACAGGGTGGGCAAAAGTAAGTTTATATAGTTGTCAGTATGCAAAACATTAATGAAGTCATTAGTGCCTCACAAAAACTTTATACATCCTCTAATTTACCAGGAAAGCTGTTACACCTCCAAAGGATTCCAAAGAACTGAAAACTTAACTAGAATTTATTCTAGGCAGCAATTTCCATGTGTAATTAATATGATTGAACAAATTCACTAAATAATGTAGCAAATATCAAGTCTTCGAAAAGTATCTATAAAAGTGGAAAATTTGTCACTATGCAATGTTAAATAAAGGTGAAATCTCATTTTGTTTAAGTTTAATATATAAAAATGCATGCATATGCATAGAATAAGATTGTAGTAAAATAAAGAATAAATTTCTTGGTCGTTTTCTTAAATTTTCTATAATATATAATAAACATGGTTTCATTTTATTAACAATTAAAAGAAATATTATTATACTTACATTAGCCACCTTTTCAACATAAGTTTTCACAATCACTTTCCTGTCCTAAAAAAAAAAAAAAATCTCAACTTTTAATTATAGATTTAAGGTATTTCATAGATAAAATTTTGATTTAATATTAAGTTGTCATTGGAGTGGCTTTATTCTATCCTCTGGTCTCCAAGTATTTTCATTAGTAAAAATAGTTATACAGTCAGAACAAAAAAATTTGCAATATATTAGCCCTTTCAGAGCTATTAGGATCTTACATTTGTATGTGATATCCATTCAGACATAAATATGAGCCATAAAATTATCAGTCCCAAGACTAACCTAGTAAAATGACCTTCTTTTACGGTGAGAAATGAGAGATCTCTCTTCCAATGTCTGAACAGTCTTCAAATATATAGTCTATGGCATTCAATACATATTTGTTGAAATTAAATTTGTATTAATGTAAAAAGTGGACAAAGTACAACTGTCTTTTAAAGGCAGAATTATACTGATCAAAGAAATGAGAATCAGTTCTGTTAAACTTCTGTAGTTAATATGGACTTTTCCCTCAAAATACTTAACATCTGTATGAGCAAATGTGTAACTGTTCATCATCTCCTCCTCCTGCTTCCTCTCCTATTAAGATAAATAAATATTGTATTGATCTGATTGAGAGATCCCTTCTCAAATAATGACCACTCAAGATTTTCACACTTTACTGAAAACTCCAGCAGTGAAAAAAATTGTTATAAGTAAAGTATAAAGTTAAAATAATCTGACTTTACTACTTAAAAATGTCTTTTACTACTACTACCTTTTAACTAGGCGCAAAGGCCAATTCCTGTGAGGCCCTGAGGCACAACTTTGTAAAGATAAGCAGTTTATGCACAACGTAAGACCTCAGGAGAAAGTCTGAGGAAAGGCAGGTCAAGCCCTACACTTACCTTGGGCGTTCCATGCCACAGGCAGTGCATGGCCACTCTGGCACCATCGTGTGTGTGTGCCAGGTACACCACCGCCTCACGGATGGCTTCGATCATTTCCTGGGGAACAAATGCCATCAAGGCTTTAGTTCATGCTTTCTTTCTGCCTTTAAAACTAATCTACCTACTAGGGAGCAGTTAAGCACAGAGAATGAAAAAGATTATAGGTAGCAAACAATTTAATTTTTCATTTTGTAGACAAGCACATGCATATATACCATCTTTCTAGGAATATTCTTTTCCATCAGGAGTGACAAATACTGCTGACAAGCAATTTCTATTAAAATACACTTCTATTTTATCAAATATGTCTATATTAAAAGACAATGTCTATTTAAAGAAGAATGCATATATACAATATATTCTAAATGACTGTTTAAGAAAAAGGTGGCTAGGAAGTGGCTATGGTAAAAAGAAAAGCCAGATAAAATAAATAAAGAAAATGCTGTTTCCTAAAAGGGAAGAGAACCAAAACACTAATTTGGCCTAAAAATTTTCTCTTTTTTAGTTTATCACTGGATTACTTCCAAGAAATCACATTAATAATTCACCATAAAAACACTAAACAACATTTCCCTAATAAAATTAATCTCTATATTAGACTAGGCCAACACTATCAATGACTCTTTAGTAAAAAACCAATTGTTACTTTCTTATAAGGTAGTCTGGCTTAAATTATATTTTGGAATTATAGATGTGAATGAGTTCTGGCAGTTAACAATTGCAGGGCCCCATTTTAGCCCATTCCCAGTGAAAAAAATTTATATTAAATAAATAAGTACAAAGTCTCCTGCAAGGAGAGAGGAAGGTAGGTGCCTATTTTCTTCAATAAGGAACAAGCAATTCCATCCTTAATTATCTTACAATCCTTACCCAGGATGAAGCTCAACAGCACAGCTTTCAACTTATGTACCTAAACTTATGAATCTCTTCAAAGCTCTCCAGCTGGAGAGCTATACATATATTCCAATTATGCTTCCACTATCCCCAAAGGGTTTTTTTGTCTCTCTTTTGAAAATGCCCCCAGGGCCAGAAAAGAGTTGCCTCATCACTTTATATTGACACTGGGTTCTCTATGATTGTTTTTGCTATTACTAAAACACATTTAACACTAAAAAGAAAGATTTTCCACCACTGAATGTATTGAAATGATCATTTTCCAGTTCTGAAAACAGTTCTGCCCCAGTACATCTAGAACTGTGAGATACTGTGCTCTGCAGGGGCGGGAGAGAATTCCCCCAAAGAGAAGCAGCAGCTGCTATGGTCACCGAGCCACAAGCTCAGGTGGGTGGTTATTCTTGGGAAATTATTTTGTATGTCAATTTCCGGCAGGTCAAAATTCCTATAAATGTTTAGTCTGGCATATGTGTTAGGAAGTCAGTGTTCCTACTTTAGTGATCCCTTATTATTAGGATGAGGACAGACAATGAGCTCACTGTATGGTGAGGCAAGCAAAGTTCAGGGGACTAAACGATGAATTCTCATTTGTATTCCCATCACTGACTTGAAGGGCAGTGCAATTTACCTTTAGTCTCTGTTTCTTTTCTATCACATGAGGTCCAATTTTTTATGGTTCATTTAGTTTTACATAATTGTCCTCCTCTAACCTTTTTCCCTCTCTAATCTGTTAACACCAACATAATTTTTTTGGTATCGGTACAGGTGAATTTCAAACTACTTGAATATCCCTCTATTTGTTAGTTAATTTTTAAATTAGGTTAGCTAGAGAATACTCTGGATTATAATTAAAATATAAAAATTAAATGAAGTTGATAAAACTATGATCAATTCTATTGCCTTCTGGTAAAAATCTAAAGGCAATTAGCAGAGTTGCTTAAAGGAAGTTTACTGCATTATCTTCTCTCAACAAGTAGCTCTTCAAAATTCCCAAAAGACAATGTATATCAAAGCAGTATTTTACATATTAACATGGCTCTTCTATGTTTTGGTCTAAAAACTAAAACCAAGAACTTACTGATCTTAGCTTTGGGGGCGCATAGGTAAAAAAGTCCAAGAACACTTTATGCACCAATGAGTGCTTAATCACAGCTTCCCTGGAAATAGAAAAAAGGGAAAAGAGAATACATCAGATCTGCCGCTACACTAATACTGTCATAGTAACCTCAGTTGTCCTAAGATAATCAAAGCAAGTGAAATGGTTTTAGGGAATTTAATTCATCAAAAGACAGATTATATCTTTCAGCAATATTAAGATTAAAAAAATAACATTTAGCCCTAGCCGGTTTGCTCAGTGGTTAGAGTGTCGGGCTGTGAACTGGAGGGTCCCAAGTTCGATTCCCAGTCAGGGCACATGCCCGGGTTGCGGGCTCAATCCCCAGCGTGGGGCATGCAAAAGGCAGCCCATCAATGATTCTCTCTCATCACTGATGTTTCTATCTCTCTCTCCTTCTCCCTTCCTCTCTGAAATCAATAAAAATATATTTTAAAAAAAAATTTTTAGATTATAGAAATATTTTAGGGCTTACCATCTATGATCAAAACCAGGATACAGATTGCTAGTATTTAACCAGCAGATGAAATCATTCAAAATACACTCTCTTAAATAAGAACATCTATATTCTTTACCCAACAATGGGCACATGATTATAAACCTATTTTCTTTTTGTCAAGCACCCTTCACAATGCATCAGTTTCATAAAATAATTTTAGCAAAGTTAAAACCCAAGTAGATCAAAACACTACCAGCAACTGCCAACACCTAATTGACCCAGACTTCCTAGTGTGACACTTGGTGAATTCAGGTGTTACAGTGGAGGCTGATGATCAGGCACCAACAACTTCAAGTTCACATTGAGTGTTTAAATAGACAGCAGAAACATATTGCTTTTAGGGGCAAAGCATTGTTCTGAGTATTCTGGAAATATCAACCCATATTCATGAAACTCTATAAAATATGTACTATTATTATCCCAATTTTATAGATATGGAAACTGAGGCACAGAAAGGTTAAGTTGCCCAAGGTCACATAGTTAGTGATTGAGGGGGCACCAGGATTCACACCCAGGCCATCTGGTCTGCGGCTACATCTTAATCCCTCCACCATGGTCCAAATGCCCAATTTCTAAGTCTTATAATCCAACTGAAATAACACCATATTTGGAAAACTATCCATCATTCTATGCAAGGGCTATACAAAACTTCCCTCCTTCAAATGCTATTTGTTAAGAAAACAACAACAGCTTTCTTACTTTTGGGCCATTGGAGTTAGAATCTGTTTCATTTCATCCATGATAAGCTCCAGTTTTTCCGGCTGTACCTTTAACACTTTGTCCAGAGTTGGGTGATCTGCTGACTGCAACAGAAAAAAAATTAAAGCCCTCTAAACTTAATGACGTTTCTTCAGCTTCATAGCAAAGAAAACCAATAACACTCGCACATGCCTAATCACAAAATCAAGTAGTCAGCTGAAAATCCTTGCCAACATGTGTTTTGTACTCACCTACAGTGACAATTACAAAAGAAATAAAGCACTAAATTCAATCCAGGATTTGAACCTGACTGGTAGAGGCAACCCAGGAATTAATTCATATCCCTGGAGGTGAGTGTGGGCATTTATGTCCCAAGTCTGGAATAGATCCTTTAAATGTCCTATTCGCATTCCTGGCCTTTTCCAGATTCAATCCCTGTGACTATATCCAATGTTGGGCCTCTCTACTCCCATTCCTCTCTAGATACAACCTGGAGAAGAGTAATCCACACACATGAAGAAACAGAGGAAAAGGCAGCAACAGGGAGCCCAATGCACTTTGGCCAGAAGCTTCACTTCTGTTAAGAGTCTTCTACCTCGGTCTATCTGACTGCAGAAATGGAAGTACTGAAGCATTAAACACGGCACTTGGGAGGGAGTAACGAAAGTAGTTCAATTTAAAGGGGATTTAAAAATAGTGCTCCGGGTGAAAGAGAAAGTATAATCACTTGCTCACTATACTGGAGACAAAATAATTCATTAAAAAAAAGGGTCTTTTAAGATGGTCTCTTGAAGGACCAGCCAAAGTAAAAATACAGTTTGAAAACAGGGCATCAGAAGGTAAGTAACAGCTCACAGGAAAAGCAAAAACGCTAGAAAAATGCTTTGAAGTGCTACCTTGTAAAGCTGAAATGTGTTCCCATAGAGCTCCTCTGTCAACATGTTTCTCTGCTCTAAAATGGCTTTGTCGTTGTATGCGTACTCCACGATGGCCGAGGCTTCCGCGTGTCGGAGCATCTTCCTCACGTGGCCTTTAAAACTTCTGATTATCTCTGCAATCTGCGGTTTACCCCTAAACCCGATGAGATAATGGGAAAAGGTAAGTGATACAGGAGAAGGCTGGGTAACAACAAAACATGACTTGACACCAGCATAAGTCCTGAGACCAATTCATCATGAGGGCTGAGGGGTGTCTACCACAGAGACATGCTGATGGGAAAGAAAATCAAACTGCCTTGTATTTCTACCTCAAGCTTCTAAGTTACTCGGCGGCCGAAACCTGGTTCTGCTTATCAGCTGCAAGACCCTGAACAAGTTATTTAACCTCTCTGTGCCACAGCTTCTTCATTCATAAAATAGAAAGAATAATGTTAATGTGAGGATTAAATGAGCTAAGATGTACTGAGAACTATGACCAGCTCGTAATAAGTGCTCAATAAATGTCAGTTCCCATTAAATTATTCAGCTTGAGAAAAGTAGGGAAAGAGAAAAGGGGAAGGTAAAAGTCAAAGATGCATAGAAATAGGAATAAAACATATTCTAAGGATGCTCTTTTAAAACAGAACTTAATCACAAGTATTTATATTACATCCTAAAATCAAGCAGCTGATAATTATAGTCAGGAATAGCTGTTGAAAATTTTGTCAACGGTACTTTTTTGTTGTTGATTAACATATTTTGGCACATTATTACACTCAGAAAGAGAAATCAAGACAAATATCAATTCCACCTAATTCAAGAAATCCTTCCATCTTGACATTTCTTCATCTTATTATATTTTTAATTCTTACTCCAAGATATTTTTCCATTGATTTTTAGAGAGAATGGGAGAGAGAGGGAAAGACAGAGAGAAATGTCGATGTGAGAGAAACACATCGGTTAGTTGCCTCCTGCATGTGCCCCGGCCAAGGCCAGGGCTGGGGAGGAGCCTGCAACCGAGATACCTGTCCTTGACCGGAATCAAACCCAAGACCTTTTGGTCCACAGGCTGATGCTCTATCCTCAGCCAAACCGGCTAGGGCCCATCTTGACATTTCTTGACCCACTGGCTCTGCCTCTGCTTCTGTGTGTACTCACCTGCACCTCCCAACCCTCTCCCCTCTAAATACTGGTAACAAATTACAAGTTAATTATCCTACTTCTCTTCTTCTAGGGTTTCAAAATATATACTAAGAATGGTGAAGGCAGTGCCATCAGTTTACATCAATTCCAGTATTTGTTTTTAAGATCACACTCCCTGGAAACATTACAAACAACTGTTGAGGGTCATTCTTATGGTCACAGACTTTCAAGTAACATTTGCACACAACTGGCACCCACATCTTTAAAAAACTAATATAAATAGATTTTATAAATAAAACAACTCACCCATACATGAGAAATTTCTTAACAATATTTCTGGAATATTTAGCTTTACTTAATTCAACCAAATCATCTGGAAAACAAAATATATTACAATGACTCCTTAGAAACAAAGAACTAAATAAATGCATAATCCTGGGAATATAAACAACTAGCCCTCTGTCTATCCCAGGCAAAGAACAAATAAAAATTTAAACAGTCCTACAGAGGACACACTGCTTTCCCACAACAGAATTCTTTTGCAGGACAGTCTTGGTATTTCAAGAGAAAACAAGTGACTCATTACAAATGATTAAAATTAATATTCAAAATATAAGAAATACCTCGTAGTTCTTCAAAAGCCTGTTTTCTCTGTTCTTCATTGCCAAACTGAATGTAACACTGGATCACACGAGTTGAATCATGTGCAAATGCAATCTGTAGGAAAGACAGTTTGGGCCTTTAGACTAATTCTCTCTGAGATTTATGTTTCTATCATCCTATTTTATCCTATATAATAAAAGGCTAATATGCAAATCGACTGAACAGCAGAACGACCGGTCACTATGACACGCACTGACCACCAGGGGGCAGACGTTCAACGCAGAAGCTGGCCCCTCGTGGTCAGTGTGCTCTCACGGGGGGAGCAATGCTCAGCCAGAAGCTGGGCTCACGGCTGGCGAGCACAGCGGTGGTGGCGGGAGCCTCTCCTGCTGGCTTAAGCCATCAGTCAGACATCCCCTGAGGGCTCCCAGATTGTGAGAGGGCGCAGGCCGGGCTGAGGGACCCCCCTGCCCCCGAGTGCACGAATTTCATGCACCAGGCCTCTCGTATTATTTATGTTTTATTACTATCGCTTTCAGAATTCCTTGCTAGATAAAAGGTAGGGTCTCCATGGATAAAATTAAATCTAAGCTACTGGGGAGTAAAAATACCCATTTTAATGGTACAAAATGGCATTCTTTGGTTCTGCTGCCTAAAATACAGCACTGAGACAGGAACAGATTTAACTATTTTGCAAGATTCCGATCATTATTATTTAAAACCAAAAATCAAAGCAAACCTGTCTAATGATTATACATACCATATTTCTCATTCTCTGAAAGTTACTTTAGTTACTTTCCCTAAAGGGAATTTTCTTATTCAAAAATTCTATTCCTTTATGATCTTTTTTTTTTTTTTTTTTTTATTTTATTGATTTTTCACAGAGAGGAAGGGAGAGAGATAGAGAGTTAGAAACATCAATGAGAGAGAAACACCGATCAGCTGCCTCCTGCACATCTCCCACCGGGGATGCGCCCGCAACCCAGGTACATGCCCTTGACCGGAATCGAACCTGGGACCCCCCTGAAAGTTACTTCCCCTAAAAGGGAATTTTCTTATTCAAAAATTCTATTTCTTTATGATCTTTTTAAATCTAAGAAAGTTTGGCTTTGGCAACCAAAGATATAGATCTAAAAAAAGTCTTGCTACACAAGTCAATACACACATTGGTAATCGTAAGTTAATCCCTCCATTTCTTACATTTTTATTATGATTTCCTGAATATATATCAAATTATATTCCTAGAAATTTGTTGTATTTCAAATCTAATTCCCCAACCTACTCCCTCATCACAACTACTGGATAGATTAGGTCCTCAATGAAGGGAGGACTTGCTGATCAATTTTCTATAGCAACAACTATCAGTTATGCAAAATTATTTTTTACTATGATATAGTACCTATCTACTTTAATAGTGCTTATTAGTTGTTCAATCTGTTTTAATTCCAATAAATCAGAAGGTGAAGGTACACACCCATCAAAGCCACAGATTTCAGAAGAATTTCCTTAAAGGATATTTATATAGACATTAATGATTAAAACCAAAACAATTTTTAAAAAATAAGGCCGCTTTTGTACATATATTGATTACTTACTACATACCCAATATACATGGTTTAAATATATTTTTCTCATTTAGACCTCAAATCAACCTTAAGAGTGGGCTGTTGCTAGTCCCACTTTATAGATGAGAAAAATAAATGTATGAGACATTAAGGAACCTGCAATCCCTGTGACCCTGGAGATGAAAGTTAACTTGTCTGAGTCTCAGATGTATGAAATGTCTCATAGTGATAATAACGTTAAGGTAAAGGAGGCAACATATGCATTGGTTAGCACAACTCCTAGCACACAGTATATAATAAATACGTTGTAATTGTCCAAAGGTACAGATGCTAAGCAGCAGGGTGAATTGAACACCAGATTTAAACACCCACGTCCATGGGCATGTAATAATAACCTAAGAGTAACTGGGAAAGGATCCTGAGTGTAAAATGTTTCTAAATAGAGGATAACAGACTGCTGGAGCAGAGAAACAGTTCTTTCTAGAAAGATCTTGCCGGATGTTTAAGGAAGCAGCAGCGGGGAACTTTCCTTCTAACTGCAATGTAGCCTGTTAGACCTCTGTACATGGTTTGGCACATGCTGCTCCCCCAGAGTCCCCAAAGCTACAGAGTCTGCTGTCTTACAGGTGAATAGTCGCTACGTACTTATCCAAATACACGAGTCAACTGTTTATTATAAACAGGACTAAACATCAACAATGAAAATTACGTTAGAACTCCCAAATCTGTAACATTTGAAAGATCTTTGCATGTTTGTAAAAGCATGGAAGAAAGAATAGTTTGCATCACACGCCTAAAAAGCCAGCAATTTAGAACATACAAAAGAATAGAGTCCAGAGCAAGACATTTTACCACATACTACTTAACTAATAAATTCTTCAAGATAACTTTCAAGAACACTGATTTATCTTAAGTAAATTATTTTAAAATGACACAGCCAAATACTTGTTTTTGTGTTTTTTTTTTTTACAATTTCCCAGCAATACATTCTCTAATTATTAAACGTTTTATTTAGTCATTACTTGAAATTTTTGGCTAAATGCATTTAAAATAACAACAATTTCACTTGTCATAAATGGCCAGCTACCCTTTACAGAGTAAGTCAATTTCAAGAGTTAAAATTGTAACTGTAAGTATGCCCTACTTACAGTTTTAATTTTTCCTTGAATCAACTTCTGCAAATCACTCATCAACTTCACTCTTTTTTCTTTGTCACAGTCTTTTCTATAAAAGAGAATAAAAGAGGGTGGAAACATAGCTTAAGCGAAGACATTTTATACACGCGAAACTAAAAACTGCTTCAGTGTAAGTTCACCCAGTTAAGTGTGATTTTCTCTTTGAAGGCAGCAAACCTTTTGACATTAACATTACTATTCCAGAGCAGCCAGAGAGAAGTAATTTTCTCAAAGGCAGAAATTCATCTCACAAGGTATAATTTCATGCATCAATCTAAGCCTTCACAGCCAGAACTTCAAAAGTGAAGAAAATAATAAAACAAGTGCAAGACACCAAAGACTTAAGTATCTCAAAACCTAGTTGATAAGAAATTGTCCTTCATTTTCTCAGAAATCTTTCAGGAAGGATGTCAAACCCAATTTAACTCGAATGCATTTTTATAAACATATCTGACACCATCCTAGTGATCCCCACATTTCTAAAACAAGAAGATATCCAAATACTGATACCTCCACTGGAGTGTTATGAATGCTCCCTAAATAACCCAAGTGCTATGTCATTTGTGTTAGGACATCTCATTATTTACGAGGCATACTCGTACTCCTCCATCATCTCAAAGAGGCCAATAAAGATGCCACTAAATAGCATTACCTTCTCACGATCTCCCAAATCTGCTTTGCCCGAACAACAATGTCATAGTTGGTTCTATCACTTAGTTGTCTGCTTTGCTTCAGTTCTTTCTTCTTCTTTTTGAAATCATCCCATTTGGGTTTCTTGGCTGCTGATTCTAATCATTATAGAAATTATTTCCAATTACATTTAACATTCTGATGCCACAGACAAGTATAGTCAGGTACATAGGGCAATCACTGATCAGGATCTACAGATATTACATGGGGAAACTAGAAGGGGGAAAATATCATTCTCTATACACTTATACTTTATTTCATTCTTTGAGCAGTTTACACATTTTAAATTTGGTTCAAACTAGCCATCCATTTATTCAGTAGTTACTTATTGATTCTTAAGAAGATACCTATTTAAAAAAAAAAAGGAAACCAAAAGGATGGTAAAAGCAATTCAGAACTTTTAAGCTTCTTTTTCAATTGTAAAATAAAATTCTACTTTTGAACATCAAGTTCATTGGACTTTAGGTATAATCAGTTCTTAAAGAAAACAAAAATTAGTTCAAATTAATTAGTCCAAATAATTAGGTTAATTAGTCCAAATTAAAACAGGAAAAACAATGTAATAAAAAATTCACCATTCTGAGTGCTGTTATGTATTAAGTCATTTAATTCTCAGAACAACTCTATTTTAAGGTGAATACTTTTACTTTTTTTTAAGATGAGTTCTGGCATTAGACACAGAAACTAAAAAAGACTGTAAAATCTAATGTACATGTGGAATCTAAAAATGTCAAAGACAAAAGCAGAGAGTAGAATAGCGGTTACCAGGGCAGGGAGGCGGGGAAAATGGAAAGATACTGGTCTACGGGTACAAACTGTAGCTAACAGGATGAGTAAGTCTAGAGATAATGTATAGCATGATGACTATCCTTAATACTACACATTTGCTAAGAGGTAGGTACTATTATTGCCCTCCCTTTCACATTGGGGAAACAAAGGCATAAAGTAGTTAAGCTCCCAGGTTCAAGGTCATACAACTGGTAAGTGGCAGAGTCGTGATTCATATCCAGAGATAACTCTGAAACTTTATGCTCTGCTTCCTTTTACTCATGACAATGCACAATCAAAAGTTCTAAGTTCTCCACAAACAGAGCAATTCTATAAAAGTAAAGTGTCTTTCTATTAGTATTTTTTGTCCTCAAAACCAACTGAATCAAAAAGCCTAAAGAGGCCAAACAAAGAATAACTTAATGTGTATTGTTAACATGAGTATCCTCTTTGGAGAATTAGTTTTTTCTAAATATCTCCCTTTCTCTGATTAGAAAATACACTCATTATAAGAAACTTAGAAAATGCAAAAACAAAATTCTTCTATAATACCAAAACTTAGATATAACCATTGACATTTTATTTCCTTCTTGTCTTTTTATCTATGCATGTTTTATATTACTCTTCCTAAAAATTCAGAATCTGTCTTCACTTAAACTTAATAACTATATTGTAAGCGTTTTTCCATGAAAATAACTATTTCTTGAAACCGTAATTTTTAATGGCTATACAACATACAACATACGTATTCCCCTTACTGGTTATTTATTCCTGGCCTGGTAATAGAGGGTTATAGGAGCAGAGGCCATATTTACCTTTGATATTAGACTATCATGTACTATACAGCAGAGGACAATAACTGACTCAGAGCTCATTTAATTCCATAAACATTTGGGCACCCTTGACGTATGCCATGCTAGGTTGCAGTAGACATACCAATTTGGGGGATGTCTAGTATCTAATCCCCCTCAGTTGCTAGAATAAAAATATGAGAAAATAAAATCAGAGTTCCATTTTGAGATGTCAGGAACATGTCTCCCAAAACAGAAAGAACCAGACTACAGCATGACAGGATCATGTGAGAATGTGTGTGTTTAAAAATCAGGTGCCCAAATCCTAGTAGGGAAAGGAAGATTTAGGAGCTATTAGACTGGTTCTCAACCTTCTGGCCTTTTAAATACAGCTCCTCATGTTGTGACCCAACCATAAAATTATTTTCGTTGCTACTTCATAACTGTAATGTTGCTACTGTTATGAATCGTAATGTAAATATCTGATATGCAGGATGGTCTTAGGCGACCCCTGTGAAAGGATCGTTCGACCGCCAAAGGGGTCTCGACCCACAGGTTGAGAACTGCTGTAGGAAGTAGGAAAGAGAAACTATGGGGTGTGGGCGTGTGATGGAGGGAAGAGGAAGAAAAAAGGATCAAGAGAAAACAATGAAGCTGAAGCATGCAAGAACCCTGCAGACCTGAGAAACAATGAAAACTGTTCCTTCCTTCCCCTCTCCCAACCTCCCTGTGTAAAGGCTACTGTCCCTCTAGTGAACAGCCCAGGCAGAGTAGAGAGCAGGGACCAGGGTTAGGGAACAAGTGAGAAGGCCGTATGGCAGTGGTCTCAGTTGGCAGCAGAGGAGCAGTGTTATGAGATGCCATTTTGGAGAAAAAGAGAATGAAAGACACCAGAGAAAGTCCCATGATGCTGCAGAGAATGTATATGTATACCAGCACATGTAAAGTGGAGACCAATGCAGATAATACACAAGAGGGGCACTCTGTACAAGAGACGGCAAGGCTCTGGTTTAGAAATGACCCCTGGAACAGCCTGACGAAGAGATGAGCAGTGTGTTTCAACAGACACATGGGAGCCCTGCCAGTACATCCCATCAGTGAGCAACTTGTCCTAAACCAATGAAAGTCAAATATGCCAGGTGTACTCTATACCCTCCTTGGAACTGCCTGCTGGACCTGAGCCATCTGATGGGTTGACCTGAGCTCTGTGAAAGGACGGTCTATATGTCTCTTGATCACCAAGGCATCTGTAGCCAAGGCAGATATACATATCTATTTTTAAATATCTTTTTATTGATTTCAGAAAGGGAGAAGAAGAGATAGAAACATCAATGATGAGAGAGAATCATTGATCGGCTGCCTCCTGCATGCCCCCCCCACCCCCCCCCCCCCCCCACGGATTGAGAACACACCCAGGTATGTGCCCTTGACTGGAATCGAACCCGGGACCCTTCAGTCCGCAGGCCGACGCTCTATCCACTGAGCCAAACTGGCTAGGGCAATCCCATCTACTTTTCACCCCCACCCCAAATGCTGCCTGTCAAGGAACAATGGGAGGCCACTAATAGATTTCTAGAGTCCCTGTGCACAGTGGTCCTGGCAATAGCGCAGGTAGGGCAAGCCTTCCACAAAAACCATGCCGAAGGAACCAGTGCTTACCATCACTTTTACTGTCCGGCTGGAATTTTCTCTTCTTGTTGAATTTATTTGCCTGCTGGAATTTGTTCTTTGGTATTTTATCCCCTTGTTGTTTATTCCTGAATTGTTTCACACCTTTTTTCCCTGGTTTTGTGGCACTTTTCTGAAAGTTCTTAGATGTGATTTTAGGTCCACCTTCCTTAACAACTTTTCTTGGGAATGTCTTTGAAGAACCAGAATCTAGTGAGGATACAAAATGATCATTAGTTCAATAATCCTGAGCCTAGATCTCTTGTATCCACTGGGTTGTATTTGTTACAGAAAATTATACCCTCTTTAGTGAAAATACTTTGTCCTACTCTCAAATATGGAGCAAAGGATTTAAAATACCAAACCAAAATTTAAAAACTTCCTCTGATTACAAAACTGTAATAATACAGGTTCATTACAGAAAACCTATAAAGTAGAGACATGCATAATAAAAACTATACATAATTCTAGAAATAACCAGTTTGGTATATTTCTCTATTTTAAGCACAGAGTAGAAGTGAGGAATTATTTATACACCTTTGTATTCTAATTTAATGACTCCATATCATTAGTCTTTACATATAACTTCTAAAAGTTCAATAACATCTTAGGAATCTAAAAATAGGATAAACACTTGAAATTTAAGAGGTATACCATATAGGCAAATTAAAGATGTTAATTTTTCAAAAATTCTAATTTTCGAAAATAATTTTCAAACCCTATAATAAAGTTATTTGACAAAAAAAAAATCTTCTTTGGTCAACAAAGTTTGCAAATTAAATACCAAACAAATGAAATGAAAACTGCAACAGCTAAGACTGCTGTAAGAAAAAACAAGGAAAGATTGCTTAGGAAACATTTAATCATTTACACAGACTGACTTTTCTATTTTGCAATACTGACACCTGATGGAATATGAAGACATCACAATTAGAAATCTTGAAGATAAAAGTATATGGTTTACCAGTATTATATACTAATCAACCACAATTTATCAAACATTAAAATAAAATGTGGTGAATTGGTGTAGCTAGCATGAGGCAACAGTATCACTAGCTGACGCCCCTCCCTCCAATTATAAAGGCCAAATAAATAACCACACCAGAAGCATATTTTGGTAAGGCTATCTTACCATTGTTCTTATAAAATCTGTTTTTTCCTTGTGACATCTTTGTACCTTTTCCTGTGAATTTTTGTTTCGCTTTGACTTCCATCATGGCAACTCTGGAAAACAAAAACAAAACCCAAAAGGATCACTGAATTGCTGTCATCTAAGTCATTAAGTAGTCACTGCAACATTTAGTCCGAGTTCTTACATACAGGGCAACCCACACATGTCCAGGAAGTAAACAATCACTGCTTCTAAGATTTTACAATGGGAAACAAATACCAACATAAAAAATAAGAACACACACACACACACACACACACAGACAAACTTGCACAAGTGCACCCTGGCTAGTGTGTAAATTATTCGGAGGCAACACTTCAGTAATAGTACTGGCTAAAAGCAGAACATTATTTACATTAAATATGATATACATGTCAGTATTTGTGTTTCTTATAACCTGGGAAGATTTTGTGATGAGAAACTGAAAACATTACCATTTGTTTTCTTGGGTCTCTATCCTAAAAAGCCAGAAAAAATAGGTTGCATTTACCATATATTCAAATTTAATGAACAAAAATAAAAGATTATCTAAAAGTTTCCTAACACAATGTAACTAAAACAAAGACTAACTTCAAATGTTTAACTTGTTACTCTTTTTAGTGTTTTCTAGTAACCCTCTAAATACTATTATGTTGAAACATTTAATATTTTGAGAAATCTGCTTAACAGGTCACTTCTGGGTACAGAAACCGCATGGTACACAGGGCAGACAATAGATATCCCCTCACTTACCCAAGGATCCTGAAAGCAGCAGAATATGTCAAAAGCAAAAGTTATTTGGCTATTTCTCCACCTTCCAAAACTGTATATTCAATTCATTCCTAAATTTCTAAAGTTGATGCCCTAGGGTAGATGTTAGGATCCCTAGACAATACCGTATTTCTGTGAGTTTGTCAGTCTCTAATTGTTTCTCATGACTGAGACACTTGAAAACTACTGGTCAGGCACTTTGTAGAATATCCTTCATTTGGGGTTTGTCTGACTGTTTTCTCACTATTAAGACTGGCTTTATGGATTTTTGGGGAAGAACATCACAGAGGCGAAATGCCCGACATTACATCATATTATGAGGAACATGGTATCAACATGACTGGCAATATTAACCTTGTTCACTTGGTGAAGGTACCGTTTGCCAGGTTTCTCCACTGTGAAGTTACTATGCTTCCCTTTCTACACTCTATTTATTAGAATCAAGTCACTATGTTCACATAAATTAAGGGGAGGGGAATTAAACTCTACTTCCTAGAGGAGGAGTATGAAACAATTTGTTAAAATATGTATGTTAAAATCAGCATAGCAACTAAGAAATATTTTGGGTGATATATTTGGAGATTATGCAATATTTTCTATTTCTCCCACTAATTTTAGCATTATCCAATGAATCTTCCCTGCATCCATAACTGTGGTGTTTTATTTCTTTCATTACTTCTACCTTCGTTATTAAAAATTCTTCCACAGAGAACATTTGTTTCTTCTCCTCTGTTCATTTATTTAATCATTTCTTTACATCAGTATGGTCTCATAGATATTTTTGTTACTTGGTTGATAACCTATTCCTTTTGTTGCTCGAATTGTTCCAACCTTGGTCAGTGGGAAATCTTTCAGTCTGCTGTGTCCTTTTGACAAGCCCCATCTTTTTCAAAAAATCATGTTCCTAATACGTTTGAAGTTCACCTTATATTTTCCTTGTGATAGCTGTGAAATAAGTCATTTCTCCAAGGAACCAGGGTCCTTGTACTGAGAATGGTATTTCAAAACCAGGAGATGAGTGCTGGGTGTGCTTGCTGCCGCTGGGGTGTCACTGCTTCTGGGTGTTTTCACCAAACAGGGCCAGTAACATGTGTGTGTACACTAGCCTGTATGAACACACAAACCTGTTTCCGTACCTATTAAATAAGCTCCTACTAATGTCTCCCAGTTCGAACCAAGTGCCACGGGGTTCTCTACCCTCCTCTCCTGCTTATCTGTAACTTCTTTCTCTGACAGTGAGAAGCTTGCCTCTCCGTATCCACAATTTGTGTACTGTTTAACCCTAGCACACATGTAGGGGGTACAGATTGCTAACCTGTATCCCCGTGAGATACAAACTTACCATCGACAGCTCAGCGTTTGTGAGCATTATAACGGAAGTATATGCAAAGTGTTCAAGGAGCCGCAGAGCTGAGAGCCAGCTTATACCACAGCAGAGATATAGCAGAGATTTCCCACAGACAGTGGGACATGGGACTGATCTTTCTTTCACTCCTTTCAGCAGACTTAGCATTACTCTTTGAAAGCAGTGAACATGGAATACCCAACTTCTGAATGTAGGCATTCCTCAAATCTTGCCCGCTGTCTCCAGACTTCTCCCTAGGTGACCTCATCCAATCCCAGGGCTCTCTACGCTGGAGACTCCCAAATTATCGCTCCATTAGGGACTTCTCTTGCGATCCTGACTTGTGTATCTCACTGCCTACCTGATACCTCCATTTATGTTCCTTACACTTACTAAGTCCAAAACAGAATTCTTTAACTTTACCGCCACTGCAAACAACACCCAAACAATCCTCAGTTTCCCACCCTCTTCTTCTCCATCTCAGCCAATGGCACATCAGCCACTCAAGGAAAAAAAACAACCAGCAAACCTAAGATTTATCTTCTCACTTATCTGCTACATTCAGGCCTGCAGTAAGTCTTGTTCAACCCCCTTTAAAAACACCTCTAACCCTCCACCTTTGATCTCCACTACCACCACCTCAACCCAAACCATTCTCAATCATCTCCAATTACATAATCAACAATAATACAAATTACAGGCCTTTTCTAAAGACCACTGGGGCCTATCAAGTCTTCGCTGTTTTCTACAAATGGGAACAGAAATGGCACTGTATTCCCAGGTAGAGAAGACCTAAACTCCCCCACTGTGGCCTTCAAAACCCCGCAGAACCTCGTCCCACCACCCTCCCCCTCTCATTCTATCTGGTATCGCTGCACTCCGAGCTCAACACATGGGTTCTTTTCCTACAGCTCCCAGCTCAGGGACTCAGCCCAAGTTACCGCTTCCATTGAAAGCACTTTCGCCCGGGCTTCGGGGTTTCAGGGCTGCCTCCCGTCACGCTTTAGGTCGGCTTAAGGCGTAAGGATCACTTCGTCCGACTCCCCCGCCCTCCACCTCCGTTCCCAACAAGTTTCCCTTTGGCGCTCAGAGCCTGGCAATGTGCACTCAGGTTGCAAACTCGGCGTCTAGCACCGACTGGGCGCAGAGCGGACGCGTGTCAAACGTACGGCAGGAAGGCTGAACGCAACTAGCACGGGCCCGGGTGTCGGAGGGTGAAAGGAGTCAGGCTAACCCTGCAGTCTCAGGACATTCGGGTGAAAGGGTCTCCAAACTCCCACAGCAGAACGGTCACTGAAGGCTGCCCGGCGAGCGACAGGTGCGAACACCTCTATCCCCTCTGGCGGCCCGAGGGCCCCCCGACTCCAGCGGCCGGCGTGGGGCGAACCCCTCCCCGGAGCAGTCGCCGGGCCCGCCACACTCACCGCACACGTGTGGCCGCCACCAGGCAGCTCCCGGCTCCCGCCGCCGCTTCCGCTTCCTGGACTTGCCCCGCCCCCGGGTCCACGGATTTCTTCTTCCGCTGGGGAGCGTGGGTTAAAGGGCGGGGCTAGCTGGGAAGTTTGGCATTTCTATTGGTCCACCCCTATTACCTCATCGAGAAGAACCGGGGCAGTGACACCTGCGGGTTTGGCCCTTGAAACGATCCGTCGTCGAGGGCGTGTTAGCGGCTCCCGGAAGTGACGCCGTTAACCCCGTCGCTTCCACGCCAGGAGGACGGCGGCGTTTCTCGAGGGCCGGGCCGATTTTTAAAGCCGCCTAGGTAGGCATGGCTCATTCTGCAGCCTGAACTAATACTAAATAGTTCACGTTGTTAGAGTGCGTTAATATGCATCTTCTCTGACAGTCTAGCGCGAAGGATCAAAGGGAAACCTCGGGAGCCGGTTTGAATTGTAATCCTGGTGTTTTTTTCCGCTTGCTAGCCCTGGGGCTTTGGGCGAATTAATTCAGTTTCTCTGAGTCATGACGATCTGATCAATACTACAGAGGTAGCTAAATCAAAGCTCTTAGAACAGTTAATGGTCATGATAAGCTCTCAGTAAATGTTTGCCATTTTTAAGGCCTGCCCATTCTTCCAGACTGCATCGATCCCATTTTTCCACATCAGAAAGTGAGACTAGTTCGGATAGTATCTCCATTTCACAGGTGAGAAAACGGACACCACAAACTCGGGTCAAGCAACACAGCTTATTCTCTAACAGTTCTGTAGGCTCGAAGCCCCGAGTCAAGCGGCAGGCACGGCGGTGCCCCCTCCAGCTCTGGTCGTTCCCGGTGCCCCGTGGTTTGGGGCTGCATGACTCCGATGTCCGCCTGTTGTCGCTCGGCCTTCTCTTCTGTGTCCTGTCTATGTTATAAGGGCACTTGCCACTGGCTTTAGGGCCCATTGTAACCATCCCGGATGATCTCATCTGGGGGTCCTCAATTGCATCTGCACAGACCCTTTTCCCAAGAAAGGTTACTTTCACAAGTATGGGGGTTCGGGCACCGGCATATCTTTTCCAGGGCCACCTGGGAAGTTAAAGAATTGGAACTTGATACCAGGTGTGTCAAGTTCAGATTTTACTGTTTTCTGAGTCGCAGTTTACTGCCCCTCAAGGCTTCAGGCTTGAGCCTGGTACAGTAATTCACTAGACTTCTTGAGGGTGGGGCCCTGGTTACTTTCCAGGCACCTATGTCACTAACTCAACACATAGGTGTTTGATAAGTACCTTTTTTTTTTTTTTTGCCTCCACCATTATATTTTCATTTCAGCTCATTTAAGTCTCATAAGAACATTTCAAGTAGGTCTCCCTTCCTCTTTTTTTTTTTTTTTTTTTATGGAAAAGGGGGAAACATAAAGTAGTTTTGATCTGGTGAGCCTGACTCCAAACTCAGCATGACTGCCTCTGTACTGCTTTCTTTAATCCATTAATTCTCCAGTAAATGCTCAAGAACAGGAATTGCAGCTCTATCAGCAGTGCCTATTAGGCAAATAGCATGGCACATGCTAGCAAACAAAAAATAAAATAAAAAATTCTTCACAAATACACCCTACCACACAATACCTGGGAGGGATTGCATTTGTAAAGGCCACAGATAGCAGCACCTTATATGCTCTCAGACACATCCATATGGCTGTCTTAAACATGTACATCAAAAAAATGATTACATATCGAAGTCCTAGATTAATATTAGTAATGTTATTTATCAAGTCTTTTATGCTGTCAAAAATAGATTCACTTGCCAGAACCGGTTTGGCTCAGTGGATAGAGCATCCCCCTGCGGGCTCAAGGGTCCCGGGTTCGATTCCAGTCAAGGGCATGTACCTTGGTTGCGGGCACATCCCCAATGGGGGGGCGTGCAGGAGGCAGCTGATCGATGTTTCTCTCTCATCGATGTTTCTGACTCTCTATCCCTCTCCCTTCCTCTCTGTAAAAAATCAATAAGATATATTTTTAAAAAAATAGATTCACTTGAGTGTTTTTGTTTGTAGTGAATTGAAAGTCTCTTTTGGTTTTGCAGAATAGCAACAAAGCTTATCCTGCAATTTTGCAGTTAACCAAGTAAAGCCCAACAATTCTTCAAATATCTAATAATCTTGAGTCTGGCGCCTTAGACCACTGGGCCATCCTGACACATAAATATCTAATAATCTTAATGTCAAGAATTATGTGTATTCCTAGAGGCACAAAATGCTCTTCCTAAATAACACAGGATGCAATTTAATCAGAGCAGCTAGACTTGTACATATCCAAGAGGTTTACAGCAATGTAATGAAGGGGATTGGCATCTGGGTCAAATGAACCCTGAATCCAAGGTCTGTATGTCTGTGGACAAGATAGTTAATTTGTATGGGCCTCACTTTCTGCATATGTAAAATGGGAATAACAACACTTACCTTTTGGGGTTTCTCTGTGACTCAAAGTGATAATAACTGAAAAGTTATTAGCCAATAGTAAACGTTGAGTGTTTCATAGTTTGAGAGACAGTGATAGAACCAAGTTGTGTCCATTAGAGATGCTTTTGCCTGCAAGTAATGAGAGTTCAGTTAATAGTCACTTAAGCAATAATTTTCTTCACACAACACAATTCTGAGGGTAGTTGGTTGCTCTAGTTCAATGATTTTCAACCTTTTTCATCTCATGGCACACCTAAACTAATTACTAGAATTCTGCAGCACACCAAAAAATATATATATTTTTTGCTGATCTGATAAAAAAAATAGGTATAATTTTGATTCATTCACACCAACGGGTATTGTGTGTTGGCTGTTGTCATTTTTTATTTAACAATCTAAGGGAAAAGTGGTCAGTGCCCCTGACTAAATAGTCAGGTATCGCAGGTTTTAAATTTTTTTGTGGCACACCAGTGTGCCTCTCGCTGCATACCAATTGAAAATCACTGCTCTAGTTTAATGATTCCATAATGTCATCGAAGACTTATGTTCTGGCACAGGTTCTATGCTCCACCATGCTCAGCTTGTTAACTTCATTTTCACAGTTGCTGCTTTCATTTATTTTTCCCCCATTTGTACCTTTTGACCACCTTCATTTATCCCCCGCCCATCTCCCTTCACTTCACCTCTCACAACCACCAACCTGATTTGTCTCAATGAGTTCTGGTTGTTTAGATTCCACATATAAGTGGGATAATACAGTATTTATCTTTGTCTGACTTATTTCACTGTTTGCAAAATATACTTCTTAGTTTCAGAATTTATATCAGAGTTCAGGGCCAGAAGAATGGAAAAAGAGAATGAAATTTACTTTTTTCTCCACTGTAGGGTGCTATCCTTTTATTCCAGAAGGAAAAGACCTAGCAAGGTTCCCCTTCTAGTTCAGTGCCTAAAACTGGGTCACATGGGCACCCCCAGATTGGAAGTCCATCAGACATGTTAACCAGGCATTTAGAGTTCACTCTTTTTCCAGTACTCCAGTAAAATGAAAGGTCACTTGGCAGATATGCCTCCACCTAGTGGTAGACATTTAATTTGTGATTTAAACTAATCTGGTTTAAAACTTAAATTTTAATAGCAGTAAGCTAAAACTTAAAATAATTGTAGTATCCTTAGTAGTGAATCTCAATCTTGGCCACACATGAAAATCACCTGGGGCGTTTAAAAAGCAAAAACCAAACCCAGTAATTCTAATTTAATTAGTCTGAGTGGGACCTGAGCATTAAAAATTTGGAAAGTTCCCCAGACCATGCTAACGTGCAGCTAAAATTAAGAGCTACTTATTTAAGGAATGGAGTTCACGTTGTTGATTTGATTTTTCTAGTTAACTGAGGATTAAACCCTGTAACCTTCTGACCCCTCTTTTGCAAGGCACCAGAATTCAGAATTAAATGTATAATACACTTGTTTCTGTAAATAGAATGTCTTGTTCTTTGGGGTCTCCTGTAGTGACTTAATATCATTAGATACTGAAAGTGGTTTAAATTTGAACTACACACTTTCAAATATATTCTGAAAAATATTTGCCTTTTTTTTCAATTCCACATGATTTTGTGAAATTTTTCTCTTTTTCATAGAAATAAAGTGTGTTAGGTGTCAGCTCCCACACATCTCCCTCCCCCAAAATCAGTTCTTTAGAGTTCTAATTAATGGGTGTTTAACTAATTGAAGTTGTTTCTCTGATTCCAGAATGCATAAGCAGGGATAAAGAGCATGTTATTGATATAAAGCATAAGTGAGGTTTTGGCAAAGATTGGATTTTATTTT